TACGGGCACTGTTGCGAGGTCCCGTTAAAAAAGTTTGTGCACAAATTAGGTCAATCAATACACAAAATGGAAGTTATTATTGAATGATAGTGTACAGTTAAAATTCTACTGTACATAGTATTGAAAGTTCAATAATAATTAAATTAACGATGGATGTTGAGGGTGAACAAAAATATATTGTTATTCAATGGGATTTTAATCGAAGCAGGAATGGATTTACTTAGCACGTGGTTTAAGGTGAGAAAGTTCATTTTCTGAGTAGGCCTACATTTTGCAAAGAAAGCAGTAGTTCAAATCTTGGCTTGATTGCATGTATTCCAATGATAAAACGACTTAGGAAAACAAAAACAAACAAATAAGAAATTAGACATTGGCATACTGTACATATACTGATATACATGTATAAATATTAAAATGTATACAGATTGTGAACAGAACTGGTGTGCATGCATTATATCTGTACATTGGACTCTTCTATCATGTTTATATATTTAATAAATGCTCAAACATGGATGAAGCACAAATTTGAAAGATTCTAACAAAAAGAAATTTGTTATATCTACTTATTTTACCATTTATTTATTTATTCTGTACCTTACAGGAATGTACTCAGTATCTAAGTTATTTTTTATTTATTTATCTATTTTACCTTTTTTAAATCTACTTATTTATTTGTTTATATATTTGTTATTTTTAAATGTAATTTTAATTTACTTAATTTCATTTAAAAGTATTCTTATAAATTTACATGTTCTTTGCAGCATATTTATGGAGGTATTTGTCAATAATTCTTTGAATTTTAGCATGTTTGGTCTTCTATAGTAATACTGTTTGATTAAGTTTTTCCTGTTTTGCTCAAAGAACGGGCATTTTAACAAATAATGATATTCATCGCCTATGTCATTTAGGCCACAGTGCAAGCACTTTCTGTCTGGTAAATCTATTCCATTCCATCTTCCAGTTTCTATAGGGAAATGATGGTTGCCTGTCCTAAATTTTATTAAGGTAATGAAGTCTTGTTTGTTAAGTTTAAGTTCTTCAGTAAATCATTCGAAGAACATCTCGAAAGAATAGATCTGATATTCAGTCGACTAAAAGAATGCGCTTTAAAACTGGCTGCAGAGAAATGTTTTTTCTTCAAGAACAGAATAAATTTTCTAGGACATGTTGTTAGTGATGATGGAATTGAAACTGATCCAGATAAAATAGACAAAATAAAAAATTGGCCAACACCTAAGACACCTGATGAACTTCATTCGTTCTTATCATTCGCTGGATATTATAGACGTTTCATCAAGGATTTCAGCAAAATTACTAGACCACTTTCTGAATTAATTCCACATCCAACTGGCAAGAAAAGATCAAAGAAAATAGTAAAAGAATGGACATGGACAGAAAAAGAGCAAACTATCTTTGAAGAATTGAAAGTCAAGTTAACAAAACCTCCTATATTGGCATATCCAGACTTTAGCAAACCCTTTGAACTACACACAGATGCTTCGACTCTTGGGCTTGGCGCGGTCCTTTATCAAGAACAGGACAACTACAAACGTGTGATCGCTTATGCAAGCAGAGCTTTGTCGAAATCTGAAAGAAATTATTCAGCATACAAATTGGAATTTTTATGTTTGAAATGGGCAGTCACCGAAAAGTTTTCAGACTATTTGACAAATAATCACTTCATTGTTCTTACTGACAATAATCCTCTCACATATGTCCTAACCTCAGCCAAACTTGACGCAACAGGACAGAGATGGGCAGCTGCATTAGGTGAATTTGACTTTGACATATACTATAGAGCTGGAATTAAAAATACAGATGCAGATGCAATGAGTCGCTATCCTCACATTGAAACAACAGATGAAGATATGGCAAAGATGGAAGACAATGTAGTGAAAGCTGTTTGTAGCACAATCACAACTCCGTATTTAGAAACTTTACCAACAATGAACATAAATATTATAGAGGCAACAGAAAATACAGGTCAACCTATGGCTCAACTTGAAATGAGAGATATTAGAAGAAAACAGAGAGAAGATCCAGTCATAGATAAGTGGAGAAAAGCTGTAATTGATCAACAAATACCTGACAAATGTTATTCCAAAGAAGATCTTGCATTAAAAAGAAATTTCAAACATCTTAAACAAAAAAGGGGAATATTATTTAGAGAAACTGAACAAAATGACAGACAAGTAGAACAATTGGTAGTTCCTGAATTCTACAAAGAAGATATTTTAAAGGGACTTCACAATGATGTTGGTCATCCCGGAAAAGAAAGAACTTTAAGACTTGTCAGGGAAAGATTCTTTTGGCCTGGAATGGCATCAGATGTAGACCAGTGGGTGGCAAAATGTGATAGATGTCTTAGAAGGAAGACAAATACAAATTCAAGAGCACCATTAATAAACGTGCATACCACATATCCGTTAGAACTTGTCTGTTTTGACTTTTTGTCTTTGGAAACATCTAAAGGAGGTTTTGGTAATGTACTTGTGGTAACTGATCATTTTACCAAATTCGCAATGGCAATACCTACCAAGAACCAGACAGCAAAGACTACTGCAGACGCTTTCTATAACAATTTTATTATACACTATGGTATACCTACAAGACTACACTCTGACCAGGGAGCCAATTTTGAATCTGAACTAATCAAAGAACTTTGTATTCTGACCAACATGAAAAAATCCCATACATCTGTGTATCACCCACAATCCAATTCTGGTCCGGAAAGATTCAACCGAACATTACTTGATATGCTAGGGACCTTAGAAAATTCGCAAAAATCAGATTGGAAAAAGTATATAAACTCCTTGGTATTTGCATATAACTGCACACCACATGAGTCAACTGGAATATCACCATATGAGTTATTATTTGGAAGAAGTCCTAGACTACCAATTGACACAATGTTTGAAAATGCCAGAGAACAGACGACTTCAAATAAGAATGCAAAAGAATACATAGATGATTTAAAAGAGAGAATTGAACGGACAAGACAAATAGTACAACAACACACTGATAAAGCTAAGAACAAACAAAAGAAACAATATGATAAGAAGATAAGAGGTGCAAAAATAGAAATAGGAGATAAAGTGTTAGTTAAGATATTGGCTCATGGTGAAGGAAAGCATAAGTTATCTGACAAATTTGAAGAACCAGTATATAAAGTAATAGATCAACCAAGACAAGACATACCTGTTTTTCAAGTTAAATCTCCAGATGGTACAGTTAAGACCTTACACAGAAATCATTTACATCCAGTGAACTACTTGGATGATGAGGAAGATATTGAAGAGAGTATTGAAATTATTAGTGAAGATAAAGAAAAAGAAGAAAGAATGGATGCATCCAAAAGAGAAAGTGACGTCACGAGCGAAGAATCTGAAGATGATGACAATGGATATTATCTTATCCCAGAGACAAGAGTGTATGGGGACGCCCATAAATCCATAGTCAACATATCAGAAGAGAAAGTTGAAGAAGCGAACAGTATTATAGTTGAAAAGGATAGAAGAAATGGAGATACAGACCTTCAAGTAGTATCTGTAGAAATAGCAAAAACCTTAAAAATAGCACTTGGTTACATATACTGATATAATCTGTATGCAATTTTGTTTTGTTTTCCCGTAATTAGTCTATTCCAGAAACCTATCATTCTGTATTTTATTGTTATTTCCAAAGGATATCTACCAGACTCTGCGTAAAGCATATACAATGGGGTACTTTTTCTAAGATGTAGAATTTTACGTATAAATTCAGTATGAATTTTTTCGAGTAAGTTACAGTTTTCATATCCCCAAATTTCACATGAATAGGTTAAAATTGGTAATACTGGTCAAAAAGTTTGAAAATTAGGTCTATTGGGAGGTTAAGGTTATAAATTCTTTTGTAAAGGAAATGAAGTGCTTTCTTGGCTTGCTGTGCTAGATGTTTTCTTGTATGTAAAAAGCTTCCTGATTTAGCAAAAAGTGTTCCCAGGTATTTGTAGTTATTTACTATTTCTAAACTTGAATTGCCTATTTTAAAAGTGAAGTTGATATTTCTATTTCCAAATACTATTACTTTTGTTTTGTCAATGTTTATATTCAATTTCCAATGTTCACAATATTCAACAAAGTCATTTATACATTCCTGGAGTTGTTTTGCATTATCAGACAGTATAACAGTGTCATCTGCATAGAGAAGGATTAAGATTTTTAAAAGATTCTCAAAGTTAAGATCATTTTCAAGAGTTATTCCGGAATTCCCTTTTTCTAAGAGGTAGTTTTCTAAATCATTTAGAAAAAGTGAAAATAAAACAGGTGAAAGATTCTCGCCTTGGCGTACTCCACAGTTACATGCAAAAAAAGGAGATTGTTCTCCATTTTGAGAAACACAAGATTTAATACTGGAGTACATATTTTTAATAACGCAAAAAATTTTTCCATTTATATTGTTTTCAAGTAATTTTTTCCACAGACCAACTCTCCATACTGAATCGAAAGCCTTAGAAAAATCAACAAATAAGCAGAAAAGTTTCTTTTTTGACTTTTTTAGAATTTCAGATAAACAATTAAGGCTAAATATGTGATCTAAAGTAGAATAATTTTTCCGGAAACCAGCTTGGTTTTCATTTAGAATATTGTTTGATTCTAAGAATGAGTTAAGTCTAATATTTAAAACACTAGTAAAAAGTTTGCTAACACAGCTTAGTAAGGTTATTGGCCTGTAGTTCACAGGTGACTTTGAATCTCCTTTATTTTTGTAAATTGGGATTATTATGCCCTCTGTCCATTTAGAGGGTATTAAACCAGTATCTAAGATAAGATTAAAGAGGCTGGCATATATAGGTAATAATTTATAGGGATTAAACGATGATCGAGTATAATCGAAAATTGATCGTTTAAGGGCGAGGTCGGCGACAATCGAATGCGAAATTTTATAATCGATTGTCGGTAGTTTTTTTTCTTGCTGTTACTTAAGCGGCTCACAAGGGAGATCACTGTATCGGGAAAAAAATGGCGTCGGACTCGCAGCATGCAATAGAAAACTTATCGCAAGAAAACCTAACAAAAAATATGGAACATGAGGACCAGGTCTTGTTCAATTACCCAACGCGATCCATTGTGTGGAAGTATTTTGGATTCACGAAAAAGGGGCTTGGACCAGCAATAAAAGCGAACTTGAACATGAACACAGCCATCTGTAAACTTTGCAAAAAATCGTACGCTAATAAAGGTAAAATGTTGCGTAAATTAAGTGCAAAGCTATATTTAAATATTGTATTCTTTTAACTATAAAAGGTCAATAATGACCATTTTTGGACCAGAACCCTCGGGTATGCAAACTTTGCATACTTTGAAGAAAAGGGGGAATTTTGACTGTCAACAAAAATACACGTATTATTATAAATATGCGGTCTCACTAAAAAGCGTCATATTCTAAATTGCAAAAAGCAAATTTCAATACGATATTGTTAAGCATCTGTTAATGCCAATTTACCTGAGCTTACAAAAAATTCTTTAGACTGGAATTTGTTTAAGATTAGAAAATGTAAAATTGTGGGCTTTTATAACTACTATTTATAACTCAATCATAATTAAAGGATGTTGGTGTATTTTCTGGTTTGAAATTATGAATAGTGGGTTATTTACGAAAACTGGTCTTCAATCCCACAGGCTTAGGGTATTGATTTAATTCATTTTAAATTCTTAAGTCAACTTTGTATTTTGTATCTTTTTTTTTTAGTAGAATATGAATCCATACATGCAGCCACTGATTGTTTAATCATACCTCCAGCCATACATTATTATGAAGAACTTCAGATGTTTTTAAGTTAAAATAAAATGTACTTATATTTCAAATTTAATTTCTTTCTCTATTTTCAGGAAATACAACAAATTTGCTATTCCATATTGATCACGACCATAAAAGGACTGCTTCTGGGGATGAAAATAATAACATTAAAAAAGCACCCACCCAGCCAACAATTCAGGCTCTGATTGCCAACCCTGGTCGTCTTACACAGAAGAGTAGAACCAACTTAGACGATGCATTATTAAAGTTAATTGTAGGAAAAGCCCTTCCAATCAGCCTTGTGAAAAATCCACACTTCATTGAATTTACCAAATTACTAGACCCAAGGTAACTTTATCTAATAGCAATTTTTAAAAATTAATTGCAGAACAATTTATACTTACAAGTTATTCAATTTAATTTACAAATGAGCATTTAAATGAAATACAGTGGGCCTGAATGAGATTCACTTTTGAGGTTTTGAATAAAATGGAAAACAGAAATGATGTAACTAGTTTTTGTTATATAGAAATTAGTGGAAATGCAAGATACCTTTTTGCAAATTGAAAGCTTAAGTTGTTAATCAATGATCATTAATTATTAGGTAGTAATTAAATTGGATTTCTCATGTACTTCTACTTTGCAAGGTCTGGCTATTTTCAACTGCTGTTACCAATTCACAGAATGTGAAGGCTGTAAATTTAATTTAACAAAAATATCCTGTTTTATTTTCAAGGTACAAGTTACCGTCTCAGCAAGATGTTGTGAATTCTTTAAACACGAAGAAAGACCAGATGCGTTCAACCCTTAAGCTTGACCTTGGATCTGTATCAGATGTAGCCATAACACACGACGGCTGGACAAGAGCTATTCAGCTGTAACAGCACACTTTATTGATGATAAGTGGAATCTAAAATCAGCCGTGCTGCAGACTAAGAAGGTGGAAGGTTCACACACTTCAGAGAAAATAGCTGAAGGTTTAAAAGGTAGTATTTCTTCTAATTCTTTATAAATCACCTTCATTTTGTATTGACTGAATATTGCAGCTGCCATGAAGCCTATGATATTATTTTTCATTTACTCTCCTGTTACAAGTTAAAAAGTGCAATAAAAACATTTAATTTCCCAAGAAAATGGATAAATATTTTTGTCCAAAATTGAAAGAAGGGCAAGTCCATTTTAAATATTTACTTGTTGAGTATAATAATGCTTAAAAGTTTGTAGTCTGATAATTTAATTTCCTTTAAGTTTGAATATAACTATACAATTAAGGTTATTCAATTATAAAAAAAACTGAATGAAAAACAAAAAAGTCTTGAATTTTGAATTAGAAATTTTCTGAATGTATTAACTGAGGGAGGTTATTTGATTATTTTTTTGTAGAAGTACAGACGGAGTGGAAACTACCAACATCACTTACATTAGTAACTGATAATGCTGCTAACGAACGAAAGGCTGCTGAACTCCTTGGATGGACACGATTCGGGTGCTACGGTCACCGTATTAACTTAGTGGTCAAACATGCTCTTGAGGTAACTGAGTTGAACAAGATTTTGGGTAAATCAAGACGACTTGTAACATTTTTTCATCAATCAACAAGCGCCACTGATGCTTTAATTGAAAAACAAAAGTTAGTGTTTTCAAACACACCAGGTTTGATTGGACATAAACTGATAACTGACGTTCCTACACGTTGGAATAGTACACTGGCAATGCTTGGCAGATTGGCAGAACAACTTCCTGCTATAATGAGTATTATCTTTGATACAAATTGTCTAAACAAAACTGCAATAAGCACTGTAAAAACCTACTGTCTAACATCTGAAGAACATTCTGTGGTGCAGGAACTCATTTCTGTTTTAAAATCCTTTGAAACCGCAACAACAATTTTGTGCGCAGAATCTAGTCCTACTATGCATAAAGTGCTTCCTTGTATGGTAAAAATCAAAAAGAAGTTAGAAGATGTTGAGAGTAATCCCTTAACATCTCCTGTTGTTAAGAAAGTTATTTTGAAAATGAAAGAGGAACTGTTAAAAAGGACTCAGGTGGAGGATGTACCCCTCCTGGCAGCTCTATTAAATCCAGATACCAAGAATCTCAATTTCTTGACAGCGGAGGAACAAGTGTCTGCCCGTCAGTTGCTAATGGACACTGCGTTAAATTTAAAGGTTGATAATGCTGCCCTTCCAAATGTTAAAGTAAAACAAGAAGAGGCTGTTAGTGCCAATTTACCTGACTTACCAGTGTTACCTGACATAGACCTAGAGTCTGACCAGAATGTTAAATTTGAATGTGAAAAGGAGGGTCCTAGTGAAAAGAAAATGAAATTAACTGATATGGATGAGTGGTTCGACGATGTATGCTTCATAGGAGAGTCGCAACAACCCCTTCAGAACTTAATAGAGTTGGAGGTTCATAGATATTTTTCACACAATCAACCACAGAGTTCAAAGCAGCAGACGCTTCTGCAGTGGTGGCAAGCTAATCATTATTTCTATCCACAACTTGCAACTTTAGCCAAAAAGTACTTGGCAGTTCCAGCATCATCAGTACCAAGTGAGAGGGTGTTCAGCTTAGCTGGTATTGTTGTTGACAAGAAACGATCTAGATTAAAGCCAGATTTGGTTGATACGTTAATTTTTATGAAGATGAACATAGAAACATACTGGTGACCATAGTGTTAAAATCAGTTAATAGCTGTCATTAACTTGACAACAAAACATTAAAGTTTTAAGTTTTAACTAGTTTAAAGTTTCAGTTAATGTGTTAATGTTAAATACTTATGAACTTCCAACTTTAGCAAGTTTTGAACAGTGTAATGCATTACCTTTGTTAGATGTAATATGCTCAAATTTAATGTATGAAATATAAATAATTGCTGCACAGTCTCTTTGTTAACATAAACAAGTTTTGAGAATACTTAAGAATAAGGTAGAAACTGTAGATATAATTTATTTGACATATACATCTTTGTATATAGTCATAATACAATACATGTAAAACATAAAATTAATCATAAAACATGTGTAAAAAATGAGGGTGGTAGGGTATCATTTTTGAGAAGAAACAATCATTTTGATGAAAATTATTTGCTTGGTAACTAGTGGTAACAATTATAAATGTTGATATTATTTGTTTCTTAGCAAAATACTTCAGTAAATGAGTGTATTTTTGCACTATATATAAAATATTAATACAGTAATATATAATAGAAAATTTAATATTATAAATAAAACTCTTCTTTATTAAACCATGTTGTTTTGTTATTGTAAATGGTTTCGATTATATAATCGATGATTGATCGAAAAGGGCTGACCGATTATTACCGATGATCGATTATGATTTTTGTCCGATTATGAAACCCTAATAATTTATGACTTGTAGATTTGATATACTCATTTAAGATATTGTCAGTACCAACTGATTTTCCATTTTTCAGGGACTTGATGCATTTCTTAATTTCTTCTATCGTTATTTCTGAATTTAGAATATCATTATTATCTTGTATATTAATTCTGCTGAATATTTCATTTTCATCAAGGTCATGTTCATCACTATTACTTGCCTGTCTAAAATGTTCATACATGGAATCTAGAGATGGGAGATCTACATTTTTTTTAATATTTACTCTGTTAAGATATTTCCAATAATCCTTTGGGTTTTTACTTTGCATTTTTCTTAGTTTTGATTCATTATCTTTATTGTGCTTGGTCAAATATTTATTCATAATTCTTTTATAGTTTTTACACTTAGCTTTTAATAAAGTTTGTTTTTCACCAGTAGGATATTTGTTATACCTTTTTCTAGCTTTATTATATTGTTTTCTAGCTTTTTTGCAGTCAGTACCAAACCAGGGCTTATTTTTTTTAGTATTTATATTTACATTGCTTTTATACTTTTTATTTTGTGGAAATGTCACTTGCGCACTTGTTATAAAAATATTATTTAGTAGTTCAGTTATATTATTTATTTGTATTTGGTTAACAGGTTGTGTTTTACACTCCTCAATATTGGTCAACAAAGTATTTATTACCTCATCTGGTATGTTAGTGACAAATTCATCGGCTTTTGTACTGTCCCATTTTGGCATTTGGTTTAAATTTCTATGACAGTTTTCAATTTTGTGCTTCATGTTGATGGTACATTCTAGCATAGCATGCCCATCAGAGAATAAGGTATCTAATTCTTTGATATCAAAATACTGTAAAAGGGTATAACCATCTAGTGATGATATAGTATAGTCTATTACTGAGGTATCTTTAAAGGTCATTTTACCAATATTTTTGTCATTTCCAAATCTTCCATTTATTATGATTAAATTATTGTTTTTACATATATCTATGATTTTGTATCCATGACTATTTTTTTTCTTGTCCTGTGATTTTCTATGTAAATTAATTCCATAAGATTCCATTACAGCTTTTTGGTTGAAAAAACGTACTGCCTCACTATCAAAATCAAAAAAATCTGACAAAAAATCATCACATACTGTATATTCGATCATTTCAGCTGTTTGTGCATTATAGTCTCCAAACATATATAAATAGGTATATTTATTACACATGTCATTAGTTTCATTTTCAAAAATTTCAAATTCATCATTATTATAAAAGCGTGATTGAACAGGTGGTATATATACATTACCAAATAGTAAATCTTCATTTATATTGGTCAAATTTTTGCTTAATGTCAGCCACATTACATACTCACTCTGAGAGTCTATTGTTTTGATATATGGCATTAAACAGTTTTTTACAAATGCGCCAAGGCCACCAGATTTTCTTAAAGATTTTTGCTTTCTGGGTACATTTATATAAGTAAAACCATCAATAAACATTAAATCATTTAAATCAAGCTTGGATTCTGACACAAAGAAAATATCATACTTATTAACAAGTGAAATAAATTCAGGGTAATTTGAACGTCTTTTAAGACCACATACATTTAAAGAACTTACTTTCAGCTCATAAGATTCAAAGTTATTTTGTAAGTTCCTGGCACTATATGTAAGTTGGGCATCTCCCCCATTGTCCTAAGTGTCAGTTTTTGATAGGAGCTTATCCTTGTACGTTGGAATTCTAGAATTTGTAGTGGGTGGTGCAGGCCTTGGTCTTCTGTTTTGGTAATCTAACATTGTTTGGCTGTATTGATCAATGTGTTCTTCAGAATTTGTCACAGAGGAAGTTGAATCAGAGTCACTATTGCTGTTGTCTACTAGTTCCATAAGGGTTTCATACTTGTTTTGAGTAGGTATTTCAGGTTTCCTATTTTGTAAAGTGTTCCAATGAGAGGGTTTTTCTTCTTCTTGCAAAGTTGTTGTATGTCTAGGTTGACCTAAGACTTCTTTCCAGTCAGGGAATTCGTCACAAATTAATTTCTTGTTTGCAATGAGTTTGGCAGGATAACCAATGAAAACAGATCGTGGTGGATATTTTGCTTTCATCTCTTTATATTTAGGCCAAATACGAGATCTGGCCTGAACTATTTCATTTGGGTAGTCTCTATTGATTCCTAAATTGTTTTTACCTTTTAGTTTGTAAGCACTGGAAAGAATATTTTCCACATCCCGACAATCTCTGAAACAGACTATAATTGGCCTATATTTGCCATAAGCTGACGCGCCGAGTCGGTGCGCGCGTTGTATACAAATACTCTCGGGGTCAATATGTAGGTTGTCTTTCAGAAAAGCTTTTATAAGTTCATAACAATCTTCCGTTGTTTGTGTCTCGTGTATTCCACGGAAAATTAAGTTATTCCGCCTACTTCTAGCTTCTGCATCAATGCTACGATACTCAAGTGTTTTCAAACGTACCTTTGTAGAGTCGTTTTCTTGTTGAATTGATTGTATAGACATTTCAGCGTTGTTTACTCGGTATTTAAATTTTTCGTGCTGAAGCTTTTCAAAAAGATGACTAATTTAATCGTTTGGGGAAAAAACTTGAATCTTTAGTGGAAAAATTGCAAAGGGTTTTTTTTAAAACTATAAAGGGGAAACAAACCCCAAAAGATTCTATGTTCCACCTTTTTAAAATTTTTTGCTCTTTTTTTTCTGTTTTTTCCCACCTGGGAAACCCTAATCATTGCCCTTTCACGATTACCGCCATTACCCCCCCAATTATTACCGCTGGTTTTTTTGCAAACCCCTGTGAAAAATCACTTTAAAAGGTCGAATTTTTCAGCTTTTTTTCCCCTTTTTCTTTTTATCACAACCGGGTTTTAAAAAAATAAAGCACCAAAAATATATGAATAAAGGCCCAAATAATCACTAGAATTGGAAAAATAACCGAGTTTTCACCGAGCGAAATTTCACCGTGCTTCACTATCTCATGTCACGTGATACAAGCACCAAATGTTTTTCTGGTTGGTTTTGTGTGGGGGGGAGGGGGTACATTATATTTTTAGCCGGGTTTTTTTTTAATTAAAATTTAACTGTATATATGAAAAATCAAATAATTATATTCTTGAAATGTTATATATAATAACTTCAAACAATTTGCCCCTGACTTATGTGGGTTCAAAACCCACAAGGGACTTTAGATACTCCCATGTGAAAAAGCTAATCAGGTAGCTAACGGAACATCGGTGGTTATACACAGCTCTGAAATAGTTCACGAATGACCACTTGAGGTGAAAAGTCACCCTGTGACCTGTACTGTTTTGGTGCGACATAAAATCCAATAAGAAACAACATTAAAAAGCCAGTATTTTTGTTATAGTCCATCGTATTGCCGTACTGTCACCATTATACCGTTATACTATCGCCATCATATTATCGCCTTCCTATTAAGCATGTGCATAATAAAATGTTAACATGGATGAAACGCTACGGTACGATGGTGACGCGGGACAGTGCTAAGGTGGCAATACGAAAGTACGATAGTTGTGTACAGTACTGTCCTGTTTCACTATAGTACTGTCATATTATCACCATCTTATTGCCATCATCGTACTGTCACCATTGTATATCGCGCTTTTTGTTCTCAGATAAATATATCTTGCTCTAACCGAGCACCGTAGTAAAATGTGTGTCATATTCGGTCAGAATATTTTATCATATCTTTTACAAATAATTTTTCCCTCTAAACGGTTGTCTGTAAAAAAAGTAAGATAAGTGTTTCTGTAACAAACCGATTATATTCATTTTTTATCTTTTACATGTAAATCGGCGGGATAAAAGTGCTGTATTAGTTTCTAAATGTCAAAATTTCTAATGCCTAAAAAGGACCTTTCGGAAATACAACATTTCATTCTGTAACGGAGTTATTCAATTAATATACTTTTAAAATGCTTAAATTGTGGAATACTGCTTGGTTTTTCTAGGAATTCACTTAAACTAATATAGCTGAAAACATTTGCTTTGAAAACGCCTTAATGTTTACATGAAACCCGTAAAATACATTTTCTTTCTTTGCAATAAAACGAAAAGCTATAAATACTTTTATGTCCTTGATTCATTATGTCGAAATAAGGTTGTTCTAGATAACAGACATTGTGTTTCATTTATTTCTAAAGTAATCGTTGCTAGTTTGTCATGCAGTACTTAAAGTGTCATTATGTGTGTTTTTGCGGTCAATTGAGATGAATTAGCTATATATTTGGCCGGAATGACTATCAAAATGGTAATTGACCGATAAATGATCATGAAAATTGTTAAGGATAATACATAAAATCT